TCCGTAGTGATACTGCCTTGGAAACCCAAGGAGGGGTCGCTATGAGTCGGGGCCGACTCGACGGCACATAACAACAACAACAACATAAATAATACATGAATATAGATTTTGTATAAAAGTGTCCAACAATACTTCAGTAAATGGACTCCATAGGTCACTTTCACCCCCACTTCTACTCTCCAAAAATGACTGCTGGGGACAGTTTCTAGTGTTTCCTTCTAGACACTTCTCTCTGCATTTACATAACTGTGAGTGCACACATGGTCACCATTAGCAGCTCCCACCTGCTTTTCCACGTTAACAAGTGGGTCCTGTAGAAGCCCCTTCCACAGGTACACACAAGTCACACTCATTCTATATCACATCCAGCAGGTGCTCTGTGGTATAACCTGAACCCCCATCATTCATTTTACCTTTCAAAAGTCACTGGTTATAAATGGACATTCATGGGGTTTTCTAGGTGGTTTGCTCCTACCATCTTGTCCACACATCTCTCTCTATGCACATGGATCCGTATTAGAGTTGGAAAAGTCAAAAGGTTTATTCATGAGCACATACTATGTGTTACTGTTCTAAGTGCTAGGGAGATATCAGGGGACAAGGTAGACAGTGTCCTTGCCCACATGGAGCTGACATTCTAGTGGAGTTGAGGGTGAGAGTGTTTGTCTTAGGCTGGGTTCTCTAGGAAAGCAAAATAAGTCAATGTGTGTGTGTGTGTGTGTAAAGAGAGATTATCTCAAGGAAATGACTCATGCAGTTATGGAGGCTGGCAAGTCCCAAATTCATGGGTCAGGTATCAGATTGGAGGCTTCTCCTGACTCATGTTGTTGCAGGGGCTGACAAACCCACAATTGGCAGGTCAGATGACAGGTTGTTGGCTCACAGGGCTATAAAAGCTGGTGAACCCCAAAATCAGCAGGTCAGATGGTAAGCTACTAGCTCACAGGACTGCAAAAGCTGGTGAATCCCAGAATCAACAGGTCAGATCAGCCACTAACTCAAGGCCCAAGAACCAGAGGTCAGATGATGATGAGCCAGATGCAACATCCACAGCAAGGGAGAGCCTTGCCAGAGCGTCCATGTATATACTGGATGCAGGTCACACCCCCAAGGAAACTCCCTGCAAAAAGGGCAGGGAAGCCACATCTTTTGACCTCCTCTAACCACACAAGAGGAAGACAGAATCACTATCAGTAGTCCAAGGTCTATTCATGCAAGGCCAAATATGCTGCCTCCCTCCAGCCCTTTCACCAACCATTCCTCCCAAAGCACCCACCACCTCTCTCCTGGGTTCAATAATTCACTGCAGTGACCACACAGAACTCACAGATTATG